GGGTTTGGGTTTGGGATGGGATGGGTTTGGGATAGGTTTGGGTTTGGGATGGGATGGGTTTGGGATGGGTTTGGGATGGGATGGATTTGGGATGGGTTTGGGATGGGTTTGGGATGGGTTTGGATGGATTTGGGATGGGTTTGGGATGGGTTTGGGATGGGTTTGGATGGATTTGAGATGGGTTTGGGATGGGTTTGGGATGGGTTTGGGTTTGGGATTGAAGAGATGGGATGGATTTGGGATGGGATGGGTTTGGGATGGGTTTGGGATGGATTTGGGATGGGTTTGGATGGATTTGGGATGGGTTGGGATCGGATGGGATGGGATGGGTTTGGATGGATTTGAGATGGGTTTGGGATGGGTTTGGGATGAGTTTGGGATGGGTTTGGGATAGGTTTGGGTTTGGGATGGGTTTGGGATGGATTTGGGATGGGTTTGGGTTTGGGATGGGTTTGGATGGATTTTGGATGGGATGGATTTGGGATGGGATGAGTTTGGGATGGGTTTGGGATGGGTTTGGGTTTGGGATGGGTTTGGGGATCACTGGGATTGTCACGTAGGGACAATGAGCCCTGATCCCAAAGTGAGCCATTGATCCCAAACCGGATCCCTCCCATCCCAAACTGGAGCCATTGATCCTAAAACAGATCTCTCCCATCCCAATCGGAGCCATTGATCCCAATCGGAGCCATTGATCCCAATCGGAACCATCGATCCCAAACCGGATCACTCCCATCTCAAACTGGAGCCATTGATCCCAAAGCAGCCCTGGCCCACCCCAATCGGAGCCATCGATCCTGATCGGAGCCATTGATCCAAAACCAGATCCCTCCCATCCTAACTGGAGTTGTCCCATCCCAAACTGGAGCCATTGATCCCAAACAGAGCCATTGATCCCAATCGGAGCCATCCCATCCCAAACTGGATCCCTCCCATCCCAATCGGAGCCATTGATCCCAAACAGAGCCATTGATCCCAAAACAGCCCTGTCCCATCCAATCGGAGCCATTGATCCCAGACCGGATCCCTCCCATCCCAATTGGAGCCATTGATCCCAATCGGAGCCATTGATCCCAAAACAGCCCTGTCCCACCCCAATCGGAGCCATTGATCCCAAACTGGATCCCTCCCACCCCAATCAGAGCCATTGATCCCAGACCGAATCCCTCCCACCCCAAACTGGATCGATTGATCCCAAACAGAGCCATTGATCCCAAAACAGCCCTGTCCCACCCCAATCGGAGCCATTGATCCCAGACCGGATCCCTCCCATCCCAAACAGAGCCATTGATCCCAAAACAGCCCTGTCCCATCCCAATCAGAGCCATTGATCCCAAACTGGATCCCTCCCATCCCAATCGGAGCCATTGATCCCAGACCGGATCCATCCCATCCCAATCGGAGCCATTGATCCCAAACAGAGCCATTGATCCCAAAACAGCCCTGTCCCATCCAATCGGAGCCATTGATCCCAAACTGGATCCCTCCCACCCCAAACTGGAGCCATTGATCCCAATTGGAGCCATTGATCCCAGACCGGATCCCTCCCACCCCAAACTGGACCCATTGATCCCAATCGGAGCCATTGATCCCAAACTGGATCCCTCCCATCCCAAACTGGAGCCGTCCCACCCCAAACCAGACCCGTTTCACCCCAAACCAGAGCCCCCCGCCCCACACCGGAGCCCCCTCCCCACACCGGAGCCCCCTCCCCACACCGGAGCCCCCTCCCCACACCGGGCTCCCGGAGCCCCCCGGCGCTCGGGGCCGCTCCCGCCGCTCCCCGCGTGGCCCCGGGGCGGGAGCGCGGCCGCTTTTTGTTCCCGGGGGTCCCGGTGCTGTCCCGGGCCTCGGGGGTCCCGGGGGTCCCGGGGGTCCCGGTGCTGCCCCGGGCCTCGGGGGTCCCGGGGGTCCCGGGGGTCCCGGTGCTGCCCCGG